GAAAGCAAAAAGTGCCTCTTGCATAAGGAAAAAAAATAGAAAACATGTTTTTTTTTGTTTCCGAGAGGCATAGACATGCCTCTCGCGAAAGCACAACTGTGCCTCTCGTGGAAGGAAAAAAACAGAAAACATATTTTTTCCCATTTTCGGGAGGCACGGTCATGCCTCTCGCGGAAGCAAAACCGTGTCTCTCGTGAAAGAAAAAAAACATAAAACACATTTTTTTTCATTTTCGAGAGGCATGGTTGTGCCTCTCGTGAAAGCAAAATCATGCCTCTCGCGAAAGAAATAATGTGTTTTTTCGCACAAAAAAAATTCAAATTTGTTTTGTTGGTCCAAAAGCGAAGAAAGACCGGCGGAAAACCAAAAAGTCAGAAAATCCGAAAAACCCCGTTTAAAAAGCCAAAACACGTGCGAAAAAACAAAATCCGAAGGGAGCATCCAAAGCGCGATACGTGGCGCCAAGTGGTGCGCTCTCAGCCACCCCAAGTAATCGTTGGGGGCTCTTAAAGAAGCGCTCGCCAACTACCTGCTCCCCTCGTTGCTTCTTCTCAACTGACGTACACCCAACTATCGACGTCTAAAAAGAAAGCCCACCCAATCAAACTCTTATTTTTCCTCTTATATGTCCAGACTATACAACACTCCTCAAACTCAGCTCATATACGAGGGCAATATAGAAGGATGCTCCTAGTTGGCGCTTTAGGCATAGCTAAGAGAGCTGGCACTCACAGCCGCCAAATCATGGGTCAGCCCATGTGGCGAGCCCTCGGCTCGCCCTGCCTGGTCGCTCGCTCACTTGAGGGATGTTTGAATGGTCGCGGTTGATCAGCCAACCGTTGACTTAAAAACAAAATTAAAATGAAAAATCACTAAAATTAAGATTTCAAAAAGGTTTTTTTATTTTTTTAAATCATCAAACTTGAAAAAAAGTTCATATTTTTTCTAAAAGTTCATCCATTTGAAAAAAATCATCAAAGTTGAAATAAAGTTTATCGATTTTGAAAAACGTTCATCGAGTTTAAAAAATTCATTCATTTAAAAAAGTACATCGATCTTGAAGAAAAGTTCATCTAATTTGAAAAAAGTTCATCGATTTTGGAAAAAGTCATGTAATGTGAAAAAAAATTATCGAATTTGAAAAAAGTTCATCAAATCTGAAAAAAAGTTCATCGATTTTGAAAAAAGTTCATCAAATCTAAAAAAAAGTTCATAATTTTTTTTAAGTTCATCGATTTTTAAAAACACAAAATTCTTGAAAAAAATCATGCATTTAGAAAAAAGAGAAAAGGAAAGAAACAAGGGGGGAAAGAAAACCCGAATAAAACCATTTGTAAACTAAACCGTGAACCGGGAAAAACTTGTTTGGGAAGCTTCCCAAAACTGGGCTTTCGCAAATGTGAAGAAACGAAATAAAACATCGAAGCGAAATATTCTTGTGCACTAGAGAGCGATGGCCTGGTGATTAGAGTGGAGCGGTTGGAATGAGTGGGGCGCGAGTTTGAATCCCAGTTCTCGCACATTTGTAACATTTCTAAAAAAGAAGAAAAAATAGAATGAGCTGGCCTAGCTTCGACTGCTTCAGGCGCCCATTTACAAATTACACTGTAACAGGCGCCTGAAGCGCCAAATAGGATGCGCCATGCCCGCACAGATGATATGTCCTCCATGTGACCATGTCAGCCCAATTGTCACCCAACCCACTTAGCGCCACCTGTAGTCACATTTTTTTCTCTTCATTCTCTCCTCCCACGAGATCGGGTTGGGGACACGGTAGTTGTCGCACGCTCCTGTACGATGGTTTTCTCGCACAGCCGTCATCGCCGCGATCTAAGAAATTTAGGTCTCCTCGGTCTGGTTGCCATCTTGACGCTAAGAGGTGGGGAGACCTTGGATTTTTAAGACCTTTATGTTCTTCGTCAACGTCTAATGATTATCATAGTTTTATGAGAATAATGTTCTCTCGTTATTCTGGCAGTGCCACGAGGTTAGAGAGTTTTCTGTTCTCGCAGATCTGATTACTCGAATCTGATGAGTTTATGCTGTGTCAAGCTTTTTTTGTTGGTCTGATTCTTTGTGAAGGTGAAATCTTATAGTGATTCGACGATCTGCACTTCTAAAGGATCATCCCCGAGCCAGGTACGTTCATCGATCAAGACTTCCCATCTTTTTGGATGAGCGACTCAAGGCGCTTTGAAAACCCATTATTGGTAATGTTCGTCTCGGTGAAAGGGTGTTAACATCGTTGCTTCAGTTCAATTGCAGCCTTTTTACTGAAGTCTTTGGAGTATATCTTCGAGCAGAGATTAATACTGCGAAGAAGGTGTTTTTCAGGAGATTTCATTATAATTCTTAGTCATATAAGTTACTTTGTAGCATTTTCTTAGATCTTAGATCCAAATCAGTGTACCTGTAATTGTTATGAGTATGAATAAAATAACAAGTGTTTCTAAAAAAAGAGATCGGGTTGCGCGCTGTATGATGGACATAATGTGTTTGATTATATGAGGATTCAAAGTGAGGATCGTAGTTGTGTGCCAGAAAAATGAGGGATCAAAGCAATACGCCTGGTCCACGAACGTTGAAGGGTTCGGATTTGTGCATCGAAGGGTTCAGATTTGTGTATTTGTGTATTGTCGCTTTGCTTGAGATTCAGAGGACAAGGGCATATGCCACACCGGTTTGGATCTGCTGAGTAGATTCTTAGAGCATGTATAATAAGGAGGTAAATACACCAGAGGTCTTAGAACTTGCGTGCGGCGGTTACTTTGGTGCACAAAATTGTAAAATACGTGTTTGTGGTCACTAAACTTGTGAGGCCGTTCAAATACAGTCACTCTCACCGTACGCATGCGTATCCGTAGACGCCAGTATGGCACGGGCCCCCTGTCAGCCGTAATTGCTCTTGTATGATAGATTTGTAGAAAAGTCCGCATTTCTTTTTTTATTTACATAGGAACCCCTAAAATAAGAAAAATAGTGGGACGGTGGGGTTCCATACTTGGACGTACTGCTAAGTGGCACGATTGAACAACCACCACGCCAACAGTATCATGTGTTTACTTTGCACTATTATATTATACTATATATCCTATCCGGGTGGACCCAAAAAGTGATAATGAAAAAATTTATGTCTTCTAATAATAAGAATGCAAAGTGCGGCCGGTGGGCTCGAACCTGTGACATGGAGATTCACTCGCGCATAAGCCAACCACCAAGCAACTGCGACATGTGATGTAATTTAGAGATATACAATGTATATGTTTTTATTACTCTTGTTCTCTATAAGTATGTGCCATTTTAAAAAATGTTTAAACATTGTAAAAAATGTTCGTGTAATTCAAAATATGTTCATGCAATAGAAAAACTACGCGAACAGTTTTTTGAACCATGCGAGCATAATTGTACATTGTGTAAAACTCACAATTTTTTTTTTGAAATGTGTCAACATTTTTTAAATGCAATGTACATTTCTTAATTTACATGAATATTTTTCAGTGTTTAAACATTTTTATAAATGCCATGTAGTTTTTTTAACGCATGTACATATTTTGAATTGCACAAACAATATTATTTGAAAATAATACATGAACAATTTTTTCTGATCCACAAATTTCTCAAATAAAACGAATAGGTGTTATTATGAATATTTAAAAACTATTTGTGTTATTATTATGCAAACATTTTTTATAATTCATAAGTATTATTTTAGAATAATACATGAAAATTATTTGAAATTATCTTATTAATGGCATTATAATTTGCATACTATCTACAAATTTCTGAAAAATAAACAAGTGCAAAATGGGTCGCCGGACCACAGCCCATTTCTGTTCCATGAGCGCTTCCGTTTTTGTACATTAATCTTAGTTACTCTTAATAGCTGTCTATAGATGTGTGGCGTAGTTTGTGTGACCTGTATTGTACTAGCATTAGGTCGGGGTTCGAGATCTGGCAGTTAAACTTTTCGTCCCATCGATTGTTGATTTTTTATTTTACATAGAAGAAGAAGAAGGGGTTTTGTGCAAAAATGCGTCCATGTGTCATTGACAGCGGGCCCATGCCATGCTGGCATCGACGGATACGCTCGCGTATAGAGAGAGTGACTGTATTTGAACAGTCTCGCAAGTTTAGTGACCCCAAACACGTTGCAAGTTCTAAGACCTCTGGTGTATTTACCTCTGTAATAAGTCAGCAGGCTATAGCATTTGCCAGCTCATCCAAATCCTACGTGGCAGAGAGAGAAAGCAGGAAAGAGAATGGAGCGGGCTCTCCTGCAGTCTCCCGGCTATAGCACGCTTGCAGCTCACACCGCTGGCGCTAGGCCAACGCTAGGAGATTCCACCCAATCGTGTTTATACCCAGCTTAAAGAACTAATAATTTAAAGCTTTAATGAAGCCCACTTAACAGCCAGGGTATAGCTAGCTTATTAATATGGCTCGGCTTTAAGCTGGCTCTTTGATGATATGGCACAGGCTTACAGCCAGATCTCAGAGGCATCCAGATTCCAGATTCCTCCCGCACGCAGAAATATAGTACACCTAGTAAGTAACTGAACCGCAGATCCGACCTAGTAAGTAACTCAACCGCAGATCCGATCTCGGCCCAGGCGCCCAGCCGCCGGCCGCCGGCCGCCGGCCGCCGGACGGAATCCAAAGGCCCACCGTGTCAAACCACACACGTCCACGCCGGCGGTCAGAGTGTCAGACACAATCACTGCAGTAAACACAACGAACTCGCAGCAAAGCCAGAATGGAGCAGACGGTGAGTCGGTGAGGGACGAGTCCTCCAATCCAATGTTTGCTTCAAGATAAACAGATCGATTCTTCCACATATTAATAAACAGGGAAAATATAAAGTGGGGATTTCGGGTGATACCGAGCTCCCCGGAACTAATTAACAGTCTCAGTCTAAGAACAAGAAGAATGTCTAAGAACAGAAGAATTCATCCATGCTAAGATCAAAACCAAGAGCTGCATTTCCTCGTCTGATTCCGCTCCTAGCTGCCCGCGGCAAGAGCTAGGACTCGCTGCTGCATTCTTGCGCATGTGATGCTACTGTCTATTCGGCGGCGGCGGCCGGCTTGCGGAGCAGCACCATGTGCATTGGGGTGAAGATGCCGGTCTCGCCGCCGCGGGTGAGGTGATGCGCCGTCTCGTACAGCATCTCGTGCACCTCGGAGACGCCCTTGGGCGCCACGCGCAGCAGGGTGAGCGCCCGGATCACCAGCGAGTTGCGCCAGTAGGAGAGGCGCCCCATCTTGAGCCGCGTCCACCAGGGGAGCGCCGGCGGCAGCGCCAGGTCCAGCTCCTTGACGACCTCAAAGCCGACCTCCTTGGCGACGGCGGCGATCTCGTCCTGCCGGCGCAGGCCCGGGAGGGCGTCGCCGCGCTCGATGCCGTGGATGGCCTCGACGTGCTCCGGGTCGTCGGCGCGGTACAGCGGGGTGGTCACCCACTCGTAGGAGACGTAGAGGCCCCCTGGCTTGAGCACGCGGAACACCTCGCCGTAGACGTCCTGCAGCCTGGGCGCGTGGCAGGTGGCCTCGATGGAGTAGGCGCCGTCGAAGGACGCGTCCGGGAACGGCATGGCCATGAAGTTGCCGCACACCACCTCGCATTGCGCGTCCAGGCCGGCCTTGCGGTTGTGCGAGCGGGCGCGGTTGACCTGGTACTCGTTGATGGTGATCCCGACGACGTCGGAGCCGGAGTGCGCCGCGATGGCGCGCATGGGCCCGCCGACGCCGCAGCCGACGTCGAGCAGCCGCTTCCCGGGGCGCGCCTCGAGCAGGTCGGCCACGCGCTCCTCGTGCACCCGCGTCGCCTCCCGGTGCGACCGGCCGGGCAGAGAGGGCGAGAAGTGGAACGACTGGCCCCAGCCCCACTCGTAGATGTCGGTGACGAGGTTGTAGAAGGTGTCGACGAAGGCCGGCACCTTGTCGGCGGTGGCCGCGGCGGCTGTCTCCTTGGGGCTGCGGAAGAAGGACCAGTACTGGGAATACCTGTCCCCGACCTTGTCGTCGGCGATGGATCCCATCTGGAGGTCGACGGCGCGCTTCCCCTGCACCTCCGCAGCGCCCATCACCCACACGAACCAGTACACCAGCGCGAAACCGGCCGCCGCCAGCGTCCAGGCCATGGTAGCCGGCTCCATCTCCCCGATCTAGGAGGAGAGAAAGGTTTGACTCGCGAGGAGAAAGCGGCTCCAGATGGGGGGAGGAGTCCTGAGATTGCGATCTGGGTCTGAGGTGGTAAATGGGAGAGAGATTTATGCCCAGCTGGATTCGAAACGGCAGAGGATGCCGTTGCTGGTTTCAGATCTGGACTCTGTTCAGCTCGACCCGGCCCGTGTTTGCATTTCCATGAGTGTGGTTAAATATGGACAGTGATTCAACTTTTGATGCTCATATTATTTTTGAATTTATTTCAAAATTTCCGGTGATGCGCTTGCATCCGTCCAGCTGCAGAAAAGGTACTTCGCGCTCTCATTGATCATGGCAACGATCTTTTTATAATCTGTCTCAACGTGAATCCTCTGTACTCCGAGCTCACGCTCGAACTGAAGTGCCCTCCAACAAGTTTTCAACTCAATAATCTCCGGCGTAGCATCGTTGAAAAAGAAGTGAGCCACAGCACCTCGAAAGGCACCATTGTGGTCACACAGGACCACCCCTCCTCCTCCCTTTACCTTGTCTATTGCCACTGCTTCATCTGTATTGACCAAGATCCATCTCAACTCTGGTGGCTTCCACCTCTCATGTTGGGTCTTCACCTTTGTTCTAGCTTTCCTTTGAACGGTCTCGTTCCATTCATCCATGAAACGAGAAACATAATATGATATTTCATGTGCTTCTTGAATTATTTTGCCATCTCTAGCTTCATTCCTTGCAAGCCAAAGGCCATATACCCCCTGCTGCATCATTTCTTTCTCCTCCTCTCCCGCCTCGCCCAGTCATTGCAAGAACCACCTGCCACTCTCTTTGTTCGACTAGAAGGACTCCGGCGAAGAAGCAACCCGACCGCCCCTCCTTTCGCATAGCTCCTTCCAAAATAGTTGGGAGTGTGGGCATAACTAGAACCATTGCGCTAATGTTTCCTCTCTGCCACACGTCGTGCGGAATACCACCGGTTTGATTTTCCTCCTGTGCAGCTCCGTTCCCACTCCAAGCCCATTGTGTATTATCCTCAGGAGTGAACCTTCACTTTTGTTTGGCACATGAGTTCTCCACAAAGCAAGCCAGCGTCTATGCGTGTTCACCATTGACGAGGGTTCCGGTCGTCCGGTCCTCGCCTTTTTCATACTCATGAGGAGGTGATAAGCTGAGCGGACTATAGAGACTCCATCCTTGGTGAAGTTTCATGCCAGATAGTCATCCACACCTGGGCCGCCAATAGGAAATTTTTTTATATCTCTTGCGTCGTGGGTCGTGAACATGATGTCCACCCTTGCATGATCTCAGTCATCTCCTTCCGGGGATAGCAAGTCACTCACCCGCGTGGTACGGTGCATGTATATTTGACCAAGTGGTGTGAGACTCCCATTACGCGGTATCCAGTTGTCGTGATGAATTAGAACTTTTGATTCGTCTCCAATGCACCAGACAAGCCCTTCTCTCAACAAATTGCGCCCAAAAGTGATGCTTCTAAAGGTGTACGAACCATACGCAGGGCATGCAGCATTCATGATAGACCCCTCCTTAAAATACCTAGCTCAGAGTACTCTTGCACATAATGAATCTGGACATTGTAAGATTCTCCAAGCTTGCTTTGCAAGTAGTGCCGGGTTAAATGCTTCATAATTCCTAAACCCCATGCCTCCTTCTCATTTGGTCGTGCACATTTTGTCCCAGGCTACCCAATGCACCTTCTTTTCACCATTAGCTAAACCGCGCCAAAAGTTTGAAGAGATGGTTGTCAGGTTCCGACGCATTTTCTTTGAGAGTTGAAAACATCTCATGGTGAATGTGGGTGTAGCTTGTAGTCCAGATTTAACTAGCACTTCCTTGGACGCCTTTGATAGGCCCTGTCACTACTAGAGAAAACCCTAGTAGTAGCGCTTATTTTATAGCTAGCAGTAGCGCTTGTACAAGCGCTACCACTAAGGCGCTACAGTTAACTAGTAGCAGTAGCACTGGAAAGGCAGCGCTACTGCTATACCTAGTTAGCAGTAGCGCTTTTGTTGGGAAAGCGCTACTGATAGTAGTAAGTAGCAGCAGCGTTTCTTCTGAAAAGCGATGCTGCTAACTTTTCCTGTATTTTTAAAAATACAGCTTATTTTCGTTTTGGTTTTATATACAGTACTTTCATCATATGATTTTATGACCATGATTAGTTATTTTATATAACAATGGGTGAAATGAACGTGGAGTAGATTCAAGTGGAGGCAACATAACTTGATCTAGTTTGGATTAGTATATTTTCGATGTGCACCACATGTTGCCTCCACTTGAATCTAATCCATGTTCATTTCACCTACTGATATATATATATATATATATATATATATATATAATAACTCATCATGCTCATATAACAACTTAGCATCATGCATCATCGATCATAATAATAAATAACTCATCATTGGTTTCATAATAACAAGTCATACTCATCATCATCGATCATACAACTTCTACTCGATACCATAATAACAAGTCATACTCATCATCATCATAGTCATCTAACCAATCCTACTTAGTTGTTCTTAGCACATGATCATGAGTATTAGCTAGGACCTAAATACCCTCTCTAAGGTAAAATAGCATAAAACAAGATAGGCCCTGACTCTCCATTATGAAGAATGGAGATTATCCTGTCTCCAATTCGTGCCCTTCGCACAATGTTGCTTCCAAGTACCTCCCTACGATTGACCATACATTTTGTCCAATCTTTGATTGTCATATCTTCATCCCTTTTAGAAACCTGGTATGGACAGGAGTGATTCGTAGGATGACCTGCAGTATGTTCAAAACATCAAGGCGACCTTTCTGAAACATCAGATGAGGCACACAATCTTTCGGGATTTTCTGTTGAAAAACATAGTAATAACTTCGTAGTTAGCAATGCAGTTCAGTTTTAGAAGAATTTATGCAAAAGATGCACGGATGTCATAATAGTAAAAAATCTTACCATGGCATCTCCATGGATGTTACCGTAGTTCAACACGTGCACTAGTGGCACGTATTGACCATAACGTGGAGGAGTTTGATAATATATATTGTAATTCTCAAGATCAATACAAAATGCAATCAAATGATTTTCCTCCTGGTAAGTTAATTCTGAGCCATCGGTGTAGTAGGTTCAGTCTACCATCTTCCGCACATTCTTTGAAGAATGAAAATAAGCTGTCAACTATTTTGAAATAAACAATATAAATTACTTAATAACTATGTTTGAGAAACTCACATAGCGGAAGAATTGGAAGCGTATCAACAAGGATCCAAATGTCCAAATTGTCTTCGGCGATGTCAGGATCACCAAGATCCATGGTGACAAGCATACCCTCATAAAAACCATACATCTTGCAAAGTGCTTCCCAATTCGTGCAACCAAAATGGGTTACGCTCTCAAAATTGTACAGATTTAATTCAAAATCCATACCATGATGGGTCCTTAGGTGAATTTACTTTGTTTCCATAGTTTCATGATCTTCAAAATCTAGCCTCTCCAAGACATAGCATCTTGCATGGCATGGGATAAGCTAGTCGAATTGTAAAAGACAAAAATTACATGTTGAAGTAGTACAAGTCATGCTTAATTACGAAAAAAACTTGTCGTCGTTGCGTACCGTTTCAACATCGAAGGTCTCCTGGAGCTTAATGCTGAAGCACCGACCTTCGTCCAGGTGAGGCCTGTCGCACAGACCCCGGTCGTCGTTGCACCAGTCGCACTCCCCCAAGAGACTTTCATCATCCAATGACGACATTTCCTAGGTTCATATAATTCAAATATTAAACTTGTATAATTTAAAATATGTACTACAAAAACTAAATTAGATAATTATTATTCATCACGGGTTGACTATCGATCTGTCGAATGTTTTCTGGAAAACTCTCATCTCACGTGGTGTATATATTTGACCATCGGTGATGGTCGCTCCTCCCTTCGCCCCTGAGTGCATTACACCAAAATGTCTAGCACACGGGAACGAAGGAGAAGAGACCCCCACGACAATAGTCGGGATTTTTCATCCTCTCATATGTGGTGGAGACTCTCACTCACTGATTCCTCTTTGACATATGCGACCGTCGGTGATGGTCGTTACTCCTCCTTCCCCTAGTGCATAACAAAGGTCTAGCACAAGGAGAAGAAGGAGAAACAACCACCACAACAACAGTCGGGATTCCTCGTCCTCTCTCATATATGGTTGATACACTCCCTCATTGATTTTTCGACCGTCGGTGATGGTCGCTATTCCTCCTTCCCCTAGTGCATAAAAAAGGTCCGGCACAAGGAGAAGAAGGGAAAACGACCCCCACGACAATACTCGGGATTCTTCTTCTCTCATATATGGTGCAGACTTTCTCCTTCACTCATTTGTTGATTGTCATGTATGGAGCCTCGACAGACTTAAAGTCAACCCGAAATGTCGTTTAATTATTTTTCTAGAAAATCCAGGCCACTCCATATTTCCTACATATTCTAGCACAAGTCATGCCAGAATTCACGAAAAAATCCGACATGACCTTTGATAAAAAAAAGGACATATCGAGAGCCTGAAATTTGTCAAAACGGAAATTAATCAGCACTCCGGTAAAACATAGGCCACTCGGAGGTGTAACCTGCAAACATGGCTGGCTACTTTATCAAGCACATATCCTATTTGAGCAACACAAGATATACATGTTTATATCTACATCATATGAGCATTCAAACTTGATGGTCATTGCATTTCAAAGGTTGAAAATATGAAAATTTTCAAAATGTCTTATAGGACTCATATTGACATGGAGATTTGGTTGGTCTCACCTCGAGGTCGGAGGGGGTCAGTAACAGGGACAACGGCGGGGATGATGGAGGGTCTCCTTGATTTCTGCAAAAACAAAAACCCTATAAGCTATCAACTAATCAAATGCATACGCCTTGCATAGTGGGGTCCAATTTGAGCATCCAAAGTAGGAGTACTTCTCCAATTTGAGCATTAAATAAGCAAGACCA